GAGGGAAAAAAGAAAAAGAGGTGAAAGGGCCCAGAAGGACTTCATGATGGGAGCAGTTTGCTGAGGACACGAGGAGGCAGTGTGATAAGGCTGTCCAAAGGGAAGGCGGCGAACAGGAGGGCATTTGAAAGGAAGGCAGCAGTGAGGAACTGGGGAGGAGCTGGGATGACTGAAGCACCCGTGGTCCCCACCCCTCACCTGTGGGAAGGGCGTGCCTGGCTCCTGCAGCGGTCCCCACGGCATCTTCATCCCACAGCACTGTGCCTTCTCCGCACTAAAGGCTCCGTAAGTATGTGTTAGATAAATGAAAGGGAGGGAGGTTCCTAATCAAACCAGCGACCCGCCCTGCATTTCATTCATCCTCCCCCGCCGTGCGGGCGGGGTCCTGCCATACAGTCCGGCCTGCCAGCTGCCGGGGCTCCCTGTCCCCCACCAAGTTCATCTAACTAGTGAAATGGCTCTGTCTTGTGTTGCCCTGCGAGGAAGAGGAACGCCGCGGGATTAACAGGGCAGAGTAACCTCCTGGCTCACAAGCGATGCTCCAGAGTGGGGTTGCTTGGCTTCAGCCTCAGCCTCACCAGGTGTGAGCGGCCAGTCTGGATTTATTCCTCTCTAAAGCGGACACAGTGCTATTACTTAACTTTGCAGTTGTGACAGTGAAATGAATTAATCCAAGGAAGGACTTCGCAGCCAACAGTGCCTGGCACACGGTGTTACTATTTTTTGTGTGTGTTGTAAAAGGAGAAGATAATGATACGAGAGAGCGAAGATACGGCACGTCAGAAGAAGAAACAGGAGGCAGTGTAACCAAGTGCAAACAGTCTGTATGTCTGTTTCCAGAAAATACTGAATGACCAATAAACACTTTTAATTTAACCTATCGGTCTGATCATCCCTATCAAGTTGATTTTAAATATGAGCCGTAGAAGTTTGGAGATTTTTATCTGCACGAGAAGGTGTCATGCAAATGTTAAAATGCAGATACCTTTGAAGGAAACAGTAAACACAATTAAAGAATCTTGGCTTGGCATTGGAAGCCGCGGTAGGACGCCACGCACGCTTCATATTCTATTCGTATTCTAAGCTGCGAGTATATTACGCCCCCAAGGCCTCGTTTAGATTTGATAAGGGGATGGTGAGGGTGGGTTTATTGACTATAATTGTGTACACTTCTTTCATATTTGAAAATACTTTAGATGAAATTGGAAAGTTCCAGACCGACTGCTTTATGTGGAAAATGTGAATCTTTGCATGTGCTATATGGAGGACCGTTTTAACTTTCAGAACTGGTTATTTATTCAGAGTTCATGATAATAGGGTTTATTAAAAAAAGAAAAGATCCGCTAACTTTTAAAATATCTGATAATGTGAAAAACAAAATAAGACTTCCAAATGCTGAGTTTTCCATTTTCCCCTTGTTTTATGTGCTTATTTGAACATTATAGGCCAGATGGTTTTTTAAAAATATATTAACTATAATGGTAGGATGATTGATTTTTCTAAGCTTCTACAGAAATATTTTCAGAGGATAGATTCTTAGGTGCCTCTTAAAATGACTTAGTTATATGACTGAAAACGTAAGTGAAAAACAAGCGTGTGCTTCATAATTACCGAGCGAAGGAATATTTAGACTCAGCTAAAATATAACTTGGCACCACATGTAAGCACTGGCGTTATTACTTAAGATCAATAAAGATTTTGTGAAAGAAAACATGATATAGTGGTTGTGTCAAGGAAACCGTAGCGACATGAGGAGAAGGCGTTCTGTGTGAGGGAAAACAATGCCCTCATTGTGAACAAGAAACACACCTGCAGGTGTGTGTTCCTTCCTTTCTGTAAATTTCACATCGACCCTCTGGGGAGTGCGCAGTGTGGGCTATGGGATTTGTCGTTCCTTACAATTATGAGCTAAATAAATGAGGCCTAAAGGGAGTGCGCCTATTTCATTTTCAAATTTGCACACTTAAAATCCAATCAGGCCAACTGTTCAGATTGTCATCAGGTATGAAATACACGAGTGGGTTCGAGCCCGCGCTGTGTATGGAAGGAATGTAGCTGATCTTATGGCGAGCCTCCGCCACGGGGTCCAGCCCCAGCCCTGCGAAGAGTGCTTGCTGACTCCTTGAGCTGCTTCCGTCTCACACCCTTCGAGTCCCAGTAACCAGTGTTTTATAGGCCAGCAGATTGCTTTTGATTTTTGAGAATTTGCGGTAACATATTGAGTTTAACAGATTTATGCAGGAATGTAAAATAAAAATAGTGTAGCGGGCGCTTGGGATTTTAGAACACGGAGGGGGATCAGGTTTGCAGATGGCCAGGACAGATAATGGCAGTGAGTGATTTAGCTGCGTAAGGTGATCTGTTGTTGACAGAATACATTAACATTTACCCAACGTATGCAGGTGTTCGGGTGGCGCGGCGCGCTCAACTCAGAGCAGGCAGTGTCATGCGTGGGTCCAAAGTTTGAAATCTCTAAAACATGCCTGGGTTTAGGGATTCAGTTGAGAGAGAGATTCTGAGAACTTGCTCCCTTCCCTCTCTTGTGAGTCAAGATCTTTTTCCCCTTCACGTAGTTTAATGTGATAAACTTTAGAACCCAGGTAAAGTCAGAGCAGCCAAGGGGCGTGCCGTGCTTTGCTTCTGCGGTGCTCCAGGAAAGATCTGGAAAGAGAGGGAGGAGGTGACCTCTTACTTAGTCCAGTGTGCTTGGTGAGACCCGTGTCCTGATTGCACCCATCGGGGTAGGGAGGACCACAGTTCTAGGAGCGATGGAAATGCAGCTGATTCTGGCCCTCACCTGCTCACTCAGGGTTTCCACCCCCTGCAGTATGCCTCCAGACATTTCGGGAGGCCCCAGGGGCGGGTCATGAGCTCACAGGCAGTGCAGCTCTTGCAGGAGTCACCTGCCCTCTGCTAGGAGTCACTGAGCACACCAGCCGTCCATCGTCATCTCGTGCCAGGCACCTGCAAGAGTGGCGGTCTTGGGACGATGCCTGCACGCCAGCCTCCTTCTGGGAGGTGAGAGGGGATGCTCTCGCCCCCTGGATTACATCCTCAGAGAAACCCTCTCACCAGTTTGCCAAAATAAGAGGACGTGTGTAATTCCTATTCACACTCAGACAGCTACGTAGCTTCGGGCTAGTGACTGAATATAAAACCAGGGCATAATGGTTTCAATCCGTGAAGCAGAAGCGCCCAGGGGCTGTCAGGGAGGGAGGCTGTGAGAGGCGGCATGGATGCCCCTCTGCCCACTCCATGCCTGCACATCCAGAGGGGTTGGCTTGTATCCCTTTTGTACACTGAGGCTCCAGAACATTTTGCTCAAAATGTTGCTTCTGCTCTAATCAGTTAGCTTACATTGATATTTCATGACTCGTGTTTTAGCCTCACACAAAATGTTTTCCTTTGGCAGAATACCGAAGAGTCTGTGCTATTATAAAAGTGACCCTCTGATACCTTGGGGCTATATTTACATTTAAAGAAAACACGTTGTGATTATATATTGAAAGTGATGGGAAAATGGACTTTGAGAAGGAAGAAGTACTTTCATGCTGTTTACAAGAGCCATACCGTATGTAATATAAAGTACTCCTTTATTTATTTGAAGATTTAGGCAAAAGAAACAGGAAAGGCTATTTTGTAATTATTTCCAATCTCTAGGGTTTATTAATGACCATAAAATTTTTGAACAGTGTAATTTTTAAAACGGTAAAGCACTTGTCAAACTTTTTTTTTCCCCAACTGTCAGAACCAGCTTCCTTGGGAGTCTCAGTTCATCCAATTTCAATGCATATCTCGGAATACTCCCCGACCACTCTCATGGATGGAAGGACAGACGGACAAAAATAGGTATTGCAGAGACAGAATGAGTAATGCCCTGCCTTATCCAGAGAGTCTGCAGAATCTTGACTGGTTTTCATCCACCTGGAGTCCCTGTACTTTCTGCAGGGATTAAAGCTGATTAAGATAGGTAGATCTTGAACGGAAATGGAAAAGTCAGGTGGATCTAGTGGAAGAGGGTGAATGTGGAATCACAGAGTCGGAACATTCCAGAATGTGAGAAAAGTGGCAGAATCTCATCCAAACCCTCTTCACAAATACGACTCCCCTTTCAGCATCTCCAGCTCCTCCTACAAAACTCCACTGACAGAGACGGGCCGTGCACTGTCGTGGGACATGCTGAGCGCTGGGTGATTCCGAGGCCGGGTCTGTGTCCTGGCCCTGCGAGACCCTGAGGGAACTAGTTAGCCTCTCCATGTCCCGATGATGGTCTTCATTTGTAAAAGAAACGGAGTAGTGCTGTGGTGGTCATTCTCCTTTCCCCCTCCTACCCCATCCATTCTTCACCGTTTTCCATCCTACTCTGTGCCCTGGAAGCGGACCCTTCAGAAAGCATCTTCCCTGCCTCTTTCCAGCATGCTACGGGGCTGGACCAGTGAGAGGGGCACCAGCAGGAGATGGAGGCGGGCGAGGGGATAGAGGGCAGGTACCTCCTCCCTGCTCTCTGACTGCTCTGGGCTGCCTGTTCTGTCTGCACCCCTCCCGGGCCACTCTGGCTCTCGCTGGCCCGTGCAGTTCTCGCCCTGCTCCATGCACCCGAGGGCTGTTACTTGAGACTTCCACTTCCTGCTGTGGCAGTCTCTGTGAGTCTCAGTGTCCCCTGTTAGTTCCCTTAACCCTGCCCTTGCCCCTCTGTGAGCCGTCCCTTTACTAACATGTCTCGTACCACCTACATTGGATTTTGTCTTTCTGCCCAGTACCTGTGGTGAATCTCAGATGTGCTGAGATGTTCATGTGCAACAATGCACGAAATTAAAGCATTTTATTCATTCTACGGGGTGATGCCAAATTCGTTCTCAGCTTTACTGCCCCAAACTACCCATTCCTTTTTCACTTGGCTCTAATTGTTACTATCTTCAGCTAAAAGGTGTTTGTTCCTAAATTCCTTTAATGATGACCTGTCCCCCTGTCACGTTAAGGAGGAAATACAGTCCCTGACAGCTCTTCAGATCCTTGAAGGGGGGTCGTTTGCACCCAGGCCTTTTCTTCTCTGAGTTGATCAGTCTGAATTGTTTCAGATGTTACTCATGTGACTTGGGAGTAAGTTTCTCCTCCATCCTGATCACACTTTTGAACAGATTCCTATTCAAAATTGTTTCTCTTTGACTGTAAATTCAGAACTTAACTCAATATTCCAGGTTTCAGCTCACCAGACCAAAATTAACCTTGTTTGTTTGTTTGTTTGTCTTCCACTAGCTTTTTCTCCTTTCCTCTTCTGCAGATTTTTTTTTTTGTCGGGGAGAGGGGTGGGTAATTACGTTTATTTATTTATTTTGATGGAGATACTGGGGATTGAACCCAGGACCTCATACCTGCTAAGCATGTGCTCTACTGCTGAGCTGTACCCTCTCCCTTCTTTTCTCTCTTAACCTTGTGTGTTAGGCAGAATAATGACCCCCCCAAAGATGTCCACATGCTAGTCCCTGGGACCTGGGAATGTGTTACCTTACATGTTTCAAGGGACTTTCCAGATATGATTAAATTAAGGACCTTGTCCAGATGGGCTCAGTGTGATCATGATGGGCCTCAAAAGTGGGTGAGGGCAGCAGAAGAGGCGGGCAGAGCCAAACTTGCTGTCACTGACTGTGAAGAGGGGAGAAGGGGCCAAGACCCAAGGGACGGGGAAGGCTTCGCGAAGCTACAGAAGGCAAAGAAGTAGATTTTCCCCTGGAGCCTCCAGAAGGGAATGATGGCCTGCGGACACCTGAGCTTTGGTCTAGGCGAGGCCTCTGTCAACCTTTGACCTACAGACGGATAATAAACTTTGGTTGTTTCAAGCCGCTGAGTTCATGGTAATTTGTGTCAGCGCACGAGGACATGAGTGCAGCTTGTGTGGAACGCTGGTCTCGTTTTTCCTTCTCTTTTCAGACTTCTCTCATCATTCCAGGACGTTGAGAAAATCGTCAGTCACGTTTGCATCATCTTGGGTGTTAGCTTTCCGTGTAAGGTTCATTCACTCCTAAATTCCTTTACCCAACAAGGAGCTACCATCCAGCACAGGGAACTATACTCCGTATCCTGTAATGCCCTGTAATGGAAAAGACTCTGAAAAAGAATATATATGTAACCAAATCATGGGACATTTCACATGGTAAATTAACTATACTTCAGTAAAAAATGGTTAACAAAAAATACATATATACAGGCATGTAACCCCTAAAAAAAATTGTTCAGCATGGTAACCACATTGCTAATGTAGATTTGGCCACGTCAGGACCCCATGAAAGTCCAGAGATGTGACACTTAATGCTTTTCCCCCACTTAACGCCTAGATAATCAGCACCACTGGGGACCCTCCCCAGCTGTGTCATCATCTGGCTGCGGCTCGTCTGTCTGTCTGACCTACTAGACATTCAGGACAGAGTCGCTGAGCAGCCTTTTTGAAAGAATCGGAAGCACACTTAGAGAAATTTACACCCCCCAAGACCCCCACATCTACCACTTCAATACTTCTATCAAAAATTGGTAATAGAATAGGCTGCTGAGAAATGCGGAATGCAATTGAGAGAGTTTAAGTAATCAAACATCCCAGTCCCATCGTCACGACCATGCTGATAATTCATGTAAAGAAGATGAATGAGTGTCGTGACTTCATTGTTCTTTTACATTCTCCGTTTCGGTGGCTGCCGTGGACTGTCTTAGGCCGCTCTTGCTGCCTGGCCTCTGTGCAGGGATGCAGGACTCCTGAAAGGGAGCTTGCAGAAAGAACTCCACGTACTCATGGCCATCCAGGAAACAGCTCGCTGCCTTGTTACCAGTGTTGTGGGGGAAACCCTTGACTCCCCTGTGCTCCTTTGCTTCGGACAAGAGTGGGTTTGCGCCCCTTCCAAGCCATTTACACAGTTAGGAGCGGCGACATTTGCTCTTTGCTGGATCATATTTCTCCTTGTAGAGAAAGCCTGGTAGGATTTTCTTCTAGGCACTTAGTTGGAATGGGACCCCTATTAATTTGCCTCAGCTGCTGAGCGGTACTTACCATGCTAGCCCGGGAGCCATAAAGTGCTGTTCATAGTAAGTAGGTGAACTGCCTTCTCAAACCTCTTTCTCGTGTAACTGAATTTAATGCAGAATATTCAGATTGGCTTCGTGATGATGCTAATTCATGTTGAAAAGGTTTTGAGTTTCGGTGACCAGCCCTCAGTGTATAACAGGACAGAGAGGTTTATGAGAAAAGATGTATCCATCACCGAAATGAGTCGAAGAACTTAATTTTAGTTTAATTCTAATATTTAGTATCTTCATAGTTACTTCTTAAAATCCACTAGAGGAAATCTACTAAAGTCATATTTCCAAGATCCTGACATAAGAAAAAGCCATTCTCCTGAAGGTTGTGGGAAAGATTGTCTTGCATTTCTGCTGACTCAACTGCAAAGTTACAATGAGTACAACTCATGCAGATGAGGAGTGGCTGATAGTAAGGGATTTGATGGTTGAACTGCTTAATCTAATTCACACGCATGTGCAAATTCAGGCAAATGCAATATAGCTCATAATAAAAGCCCTCCACTTTTTTTTAAGTTGCTGCCTTTGCCTGGTAACAACTGACGACCATGTGCTAATGAGGAGAAAACACTTGCAAACTCTATCCTTGTCCTGCAATTGATTCTCCTTTAGCTGTGCTTGTTCAGGTAGCAAAACCATTAGCAACTTCTTGATAGTTTTTATGATCGGACTTAGCACCTCGTATCGAGCTCGCACTGAGGAATGCATCTTCCCTTAAAAGGTTGATTTATTAGTTTATATGTAAAAGGACACTGGAGCTTATAAAGGTAACAAAGACCTTAAACATTACATCGATTTTTTTTTCCCCAGAGCTTTTTTTCCTTCTTGTTGTATCTCAGGGTAATAAAATTTCACTAGACCCACTGGATCCATAAAATCTGAAGTACAACCACCAACTGATAGAAATGAAATTGTTTGACTGGCGCGATCAGCAAGGACCCGGCTTTGAACCCTGAGCAGGATAGGTCGTTCCGTGGCCCGCGGGTGAATGACAGCCTGCTGTGCGCTGAGGGACAAGCGTGTGTTTGCAGGGGCTCCCGATTCAGTACTCGCCGGGTGACGTGGTGACCTTTACACAGCCATCGTGGCCTCAGAAGGAGGATCTTTAGAAATGGAAAATCAACACCAGGCCTTTTTGATAGAACTTAGATTTTCCCTTGTTTGAATTAAGTTGTGGATATAAGATATTTGATTCTGGAGTAAAGAGTAGAATAGAAAATGAGAAATTCTATTTGCAGATCTCAAGGTACATTATCTCTAAAATAGGGAGCTTTTTTTAAAAAGATGGGGAGCTGTAGGCTCGTCCTAGTGCACTGCACTGTGTGTGCTGTGCTGGACTGGAATTTTCTGAGCGTCTGTTCTGTGCTGGGCGCGTACCAGTGCAAACTCTTGACATGTGAACTGTCAGTTAGTTGCCGAATCCCGGCCTCTGTGCCCTGACACTGAATTGGAATCTGGAGACAGGATTTGGGGTGAAACAGAAAAGAACAGCTTTATTTCTTGCCTAGGCAGAGGGGGACACTTGAGGCTGATGCCTCAGGACTGCGAGCCGGATTTGGGGAGGGGCAGCGGGGAGTTTTATGATGCGAGTCCAAGGGGTGGAGCTTCTGATAAACATCTGAGAACGTGCAGGGGCTGCGTTCTTTCCTCCCTGACGCAGCTGCATCGGCTGTCGGTGGGGCCTCCGTTTCTGTGGTTGTCGGACCGTGTCTTCCCCCTCCGGTGGGCCTCGGTCTGGTGCTTGGCTTCTGCACAGGAGGTTAACAGTCCTGTCTCTGGACATTTCTGTGCCTGGAAAAAGGGCGCTTAAGCGGGAGGGTGAGTGCTCTGAGGAAGAGAAACACGCGCCATAGAGTCAGGCTAGAATTTGCTTTAGCATGAGGGAAGCCATTTTTGGTTACTTTTATCTGGGAGCTTCAGAGAGGAGCCACAGCGGGGAATCTGGGGGAGGGTCTGTCCCGGGGAGGCCCCATAGGGTCCTGCTGGGTTACAAGTTCATGCTACTTTGTCTCTCTCTGGCCCCAGCCTTGCCTCCTGCAGCTCCAGGCACTGTTCCCTCATGGCCTGAGGCGAGGCTCCCCGTTCCCGGTCAAGCATCGTAGAGGGCTGTCCTGGGAAAGAGCTCCGTGACCACCAGGCCGAGTGAGGTTTCTGATTTCAGTGGCAAGGGCTTGAGAACAAGACGCAGATCGGGGGGCAGGTGGACAGGGTCTCCCTGAGAGCTGCCCTGCTGCCTTTCTCGGGGGTTGACGTAGGCGGGATTAGACTGGAAGGTCCCTGATCAGCTAGCAAGCTGTCTGATTAGCCCCGCCATCTGACCTGGCGTCTCAGGGGCTGTAATTTAAAGGTACCTGTGAGCGTGCTCTCGTACCTGGGGGCTTGGGTGGGGGTGAGCTCACAGTAGTGAGCTTTTGGTCTGTTTCTGTCAAAAAGTGGGCAGTGCTGAAGCCACTGAGGCCTTCGGTAGATCAGAGCCACATCCTAGACAAACAGCTTTCTTCCTAAAGTGCATCTTAAATTTTTTTTATTATTTTAATTTATTTTTATTTTTAAATTATTTTTTATTCTTTATTAAAAAAATTTTTTTAACAAAGGTGCATCTTCAGTCGTTTATTTTTTGGAGTCTGGATTGGAGCTGTCTACATTTTCTGTCATTTTTCCCTGTTCATCAAAAACCAAGTTGCATTCATTGGTCAGTAACCAGACTCGGTTGTTCTGTTCTATTTTGTTTTAGGTATTTCGTGTTGCTTATTAAATGCTTCATTACCCCCAGCACAGATGAAAGGCGGCTGTGCTGGCGAGGAGGTGGGTTGCAGAGTGGCAGAGTGGCAGTGGGTGGGCTCCTCACGCGGTCTGAGGGGTGTGACTGCTGGAGCACGTGGCCCCAGTTGCAGGGCTTCAGCAGCTCTTGCAGTGAATAAACGTTGGCAAGGATTTTATATTTCACACA